CGTCCCGTTAGCGTCACCCAGCGCCGGCGCTTAACCCTCCTCCTCCGAGGTGTTCCCTCAGATATTGTCGCCGATCCCTGTTTTTTTTCTCTCTCCCCCCCCTCCCCTCCCCAATCCCTCGCTCCTCCCCAAGTGGTGAGTTTTCAGTGTAAATACCATTTTGTTCAGCGCCGGTGTGGGATTTGGAGGAAAGTGACCTATTTTAAAGACCTTCTATCGCTCCCTTTCTGACGGGCATGTGTCTGCTGGTCCCGTTAGCCGAATAGCGTTTGCCAGCCGTTTTCATCCGGCAGATTAAAATATGGCATTGAGGGTGGATTTCCGCAACTTGTGTGCGGGTATGTGTCCAGAAATAGCGTGCAGCCTGCTTTGCTGCAAGCATCTCTGGGGTACTGGAGTTCACCTTTGTCATCGCGAAATCAAAAATAAATATGAGAGAGAGAGACCTAGGTGCCTGTAACGGGCAGTTGTACCATTGTGTTGGGCGCGGTACAAGAAACGGGGGGGGGGGGGGGACGAGGATGAAAATGGTTGTTGTCAAATCTTTAAATATCTTAGTGAAAATGACAGCGTAGTAGTAGCCTGGAGAACCTTTTTTTTTTTTCTTCTTCATAAAAAACACTTAGTATTTATCGTACTTGTCTCTTCTGCTTATCATGGTATGGACTATTTGATTAGGTACCGTTTTAGTGACTGAGTTGGTTAAATAGCAGTTGCATTAACTAGTTGAACAAATTGTGTCCTTCACCTTTGACTAGTACATTTTGAGAGCCTTTACAGCAGTGTGTCCATGCATGCCAAGGACAGATTAACGAGATGTTACCTAGAGGTTTGAATGCTATTGATTCCTTACTATTAATGCTATTTATAGTGCATGTGACATGGTTCTTGTTTTATGTATTTGCATAAAGGTTATCAGCTTGGAATGCTTCGAATCAAATGCTCCCAAAATACCATCCGTAATGGTATATATCTTGTGGAATATTGTAGTTCAGATCTTCACCCTTTGAAAAATAGCTTTAGTATATAGCACATCATAATAGTGAAACTATTGTGGAAAATTGTGATATATTTTGACAGTGGTAATAGGTTTGTTCTCCTTTTTCAGGATTACAGAATAAAAACTTCTATTGCAATAAGTATGCTTTTAAATACATTTTTCTAGAAACTAGCTTGATTCTACATTCTCATTTTTGTTGTCCTTGTTCATATTGAATGTGTCATAGTTTTTGCTACTTATGCCCAAGGACAAACCTAATCAACGATTGGTTTGAGCCTTCATATTAGATTCTTCACAACATTGGCCTAGTTCTGGCTGGTATGTTTGCCATTTTTAGATCTCCTCTTCCTTCTGTCTATTGACTCAAATACATTGATAAACTTGAACCTTAATTTGTCCTTTGAACTTGAATGTTTTTCTTCTGTGTTAGGAATGTCTCGCTAAAGGGAAAGTGATTCTGGAGGAACAGTTTAAATTAAATTTAATCTTCTGCAAAACTTCTTGAAGTAGAAACTCCTTAGATTGTTTCTTTTTTTTTTTTTTTTTAAACTAAGCTAAAATTAAATGCTGCTTGTAGAGGACCAGATGTTGGAGTAAGGTGACTTAGGCCTCAAGTTAGACTATTGTTAAAAGTTACCTATCACATGCCCTTCCATTACATTCTGTCATGAGCTAAGTTGGAGCATTTAAAATGTTTGCTTCCTTCTAAATAGTATTTCCATTTTGTGCAGCTTTCATCTTCACCTATCCATTATAATTCATTAGTTTTTGTCACTTGAATAATATATTTTAGTTGGGTTGTAAGACAGCCTATTTTTTGGACTTGGTGAGATATCTTAGAAAAGAAGCAAATATCATACTAATAATTACATCTTCAGATGTATCCTACTACTGAATTTCCTGTAACGAGGATGTTTTGCAAAGAACAATAGATATGGCAAAGAATTCAGAGATTTGTTTTAAAGATGTTGTAGGTAGCCAACTCTACAGTAATGAGTTCCACTTTTGACAAAACCTGTGCTTTCTGAGCAGGAACATTAGCTTACTTCCAGGTACTTAGTCCTAAGGTGCTAATTCTCTTTCAAAGAAATTTATCTATCAAAGACAGACTGGATGTACTGCTGCTCTCTCTCTTTTCTGTCTCTATGAGGATATACTTCTGATCTATCTTAATAGAGATTAGTCATTTGAAAAATATTCCTTTTATAAGTATATTGGACAGTATAGATGCTTCATCAAAGAAGAAAATACTTGGGGTTGATTTGGGTCTTTTTATAATGCAAAAGTGGTAAAAACGCTATGATAAATATCACTTGTCCAATTCCATTCTCAGCATCTTTTTGGGGAACACTTGTACAATTACGAAGATACTTGCTTAGAATCATTTTCTACCGTTGTTCGGATTAAAACTGCTTAAACAGCATATGTGTTGTTACATTGAAGTGCACACCAGAAACTAAAGCTCTTTCTTTGGCTGTTAGTGTACAGGCAGTGACCCAGGCTTCTGTCTTCTGGGCTCTGGTGGTTGCGGTTGGCCGTTGTATGCTTCCTCTTCAAGTACGCTATTTAGCGTGAAGGTTTTTCCTTGTATTTCCTTACGTGAACCTGGACAAAGGGGAGAGCTTAACTTCAATGCTGGACTAGAATCCTGCCTGCATTAGAAAATTATCCTGTGCCCGATAGTGTCTTTGCCACTTCTGGATTATGAAAACACCCAAATCAACCCGAAAACAGTTATGGGTAGCTTACATATCAGTAAGTCATCCTTCAGTCAACCATGTTTGAGGCAAGCTTGCCTATAGAGATACAGAGAGGAATGATTTAATACCTTTCGTAGCTCAATAGCTGTCCTTTCTTTTATAACTCTTGCCTGTGTCTTACTCTTCTCCATAAACTCCTCATTCTTAAGTGACGTGATGCGGGATGAATCCCTGGTCTGTGCAATTTTCTGCTCTCTAGTGAGTTCTTGATAGGCTAAAAGTACCTATGGTCAAATAAATTTTGATATTTAGCTGCATGGTTCCATCCTCCACCTCCTT